AGCTCTAGGTTCTTTGTTTATTACACTATTTTTTCACTACAAACTCAATGAGTATGATTATCTCTCACCCATCCTGACTGCCTCTTGTATCTTCCCTTGAATCAGTATTAAACTCTTTCCCTTGTTCTGTTATCTACCTAACAGATAGTTGTTCCAATTTTAACCTGAATATATCTATCAAATACAATGTTTTAAATCTAATCAACCTAACTAATTAGTCATCTTTGTCATTCCCAGTTTATTTATCATTAATGCCTCTTTATACAACATAAGCTTTCTCTCCATCAAAGAACAAATTTCCACTCCAATTCTTCTTCTGTATGGTTTCCTAATCAATCAGTGAACAAAATAAGATTTATTCAGATTAAACAACATTAAATGAAATAAGCTCATAGTAAAATAAAGGGCGGTGAGGAACCAACCCATTCTCTAAATGCATGAATTCTCTGATCACTTAGCTTTTATTTTACTTTGCTTTGAAAGAGAGTTGCTGTAGGTAATTTTAACATGTTTGCATGTCTATCCTCTGGTTGTATTCAGGGGCGTCGCACAAACTTCTCTATGGGCCCCTCCCCACATCCACGGCTATCCATTAAAGTATCTGGGTGGGCCCCCCTCACATGAGGGCACTGTATACCTTTTCCCCCAGTCCTACGCTACTGGTTGTATTCGTGTAAGTGTTGATCTCTCTGTCTACTTTATATGTATGAAACTTTTCACATCCACATCTCAATTTGAGCATATCAGCGTTGTTTGTAACTGCTCATGATCCATCGCCACAGATCTCCCATCCTGCAGTATGACAGCTCTAATTCCTTCAGCACTGGCATCCACAGATACCGTCGCTGGTTTATTGTCATCATAGAACTTGAGTAAAGGTGCTTTGGTAACCGACTGCTTCAAGGTGGCTAAACTTTTCTTTTGTTCATTCTCCAAATAATCATTAATTCATAATTCAGTGTTGCTCTGAGCTCTGATAGGTTTGGATTTAACTTGGCAGGATACTGATTGATGCCCATGAATCTTAGTAGTTCCTGTTTGTCTTCTGGTGAAGGTAGCTGCACCACAGCTCATGATCTACTGTATGTACTTGATCTCTGTTGTTCTGATAATGCATTTACTTTTATTCAGTTTTATGTTGTACCCACATGCTCGGTCCAGGAGTTTCCGCAGTCTTTGATCATGTTTCTTGATGGTGTCACCCCATACCAACAGATCATCACTGATGTTCACTACTCCTTCCAGGTCTTCAATCACCTTTGACATGGATCTCTGGAATAATTCAGATGCCAAAGATATCCCAGATGGTTGATGTAAGAAACAATATCTTCCCATATGTGTGTTAAAAGTGCTGAATTTGGAATTTTACTCATCCAGCTTGATCTGCCAGAAACCTTGATTGACATCCAGCACGGATGTGTACTTTGCATTAGATATGAGGGAGACAGCCTCTGTGTGCTCTCTTGTGATGGCTGTGTTGAGATCTTGTGGATCCACGCACATCCTGGTCTTAAAGTGACCACTGTCACCACACTATTCCCTCAGTCAGTCAGTTCGGTTTGTCTTGTTATGACTCCCATCTCTTCGATTCCTCCACTTCTTTATCCCTGAGAGCTACTGGAATATTTCTCTGGGCGTGCACGACTGCTGCAACAGCTGGATCAATCTGGATCTGGTGTTTCCCTGGCAAACATCTTAATCCAGAGAACAAGTCATCATTGTCTTTTCCAGCACCACAGACTCCCTTCACCAGGCCTAACTTAATCCATGTTGCTGCACTATTTCTAACTGTATCTTGTATTTTTGTCCTTTGTACAGACAAGTGGAGAGTGCCTTTTTCACAATGGCTTCTTCTTGTGGCCAACATATGCAACTAGTTTACCTCCTTGAACTCTCCAGTGAGTTTAATGTTTCTTCGGACATTACACCTTAATCCAGTAAATGTCACATCCCTCCTGTTTATTATCACTTCATTTGACATTTTCTGTCTCCATGTTTATAACCACATCTGTTGCAGTTTGATCATCCTGTGGTGCTGGCCGTGGCCTACTTTTGTCATCTCTATCTCTCGGTGGTATTCACAGTTATAGTTTTGTGCACTTCTTCTTCATTAAGCATTTTTACCTGGCTTGACGTGATAGACCATTTGACCAAGACTATATTTTGTTTAGTATCTATACCGTTGCAGATATAATTGTTTGACTTATATTAGATTAAAATATATTTTCTCAGGCAACAAAATTCAGTGAGTTATAGTTGCTGAAGCAAAAAGTGTTACAACCATACCCGGTCTCCCCTACTCCGTACAAAACAGCTCAAACTTCCATACAACTCCCTTTTATGTCATGACATCATGAGCACTCTGACGCTACTCATACTAACATATCACACTAAGAGTGACTGTTACACGCCACTGCTGTATGCTAATGTGAAGCCCCGATTTTATACAGAAGCACATGTCTTAATAACATCTGCAGTGTTTCACCTTGTGCAGTTTTCATTGTTACCCCATTTTGCCACAAGAGTTCTCTGTTGACCACAGAATTGTTCAAAAGGGCCGGTAATTGAGTTGTGCTGTTTTTGCAGAGATTGAAACATAGATCACACAAATGTCTTTCATGTATAAACTTAGGTTTAATATATGTATTCAATAATATTATTAATGGATATACAAATATAAACCTGTTCCACTCTCTGATCAGAGTCCCTGTCTTTAAACGTGCTTCACTGAGGTGTTGCAGCTATTACATGCTCTGCCTCTAGGTTGTGTAAGTGTGCAGGTCAGAAACAGTTGCAGATGCACCTCTGTAGGTGGATGATGATGGGGAACTATTTCTTACTCCATTCTTCCCCTGTTGCAATAACACAGCATCTCCACAGAGATAAATTTAGCATTTAGCAAAGTTTGTGATGTGAAGGAAGCCTTAGAAACAAACAGAAATACGTTTTCCTACTGAGTTTAACGTTGATGAAGTGGTTTTGTACCAGAAACATGAACAACAAGAGATAAATACAGTGCTTAATGGTACCTCTTTATTGAATGAGTATACTTTGTTACTGAAGTCTGGAGGATTCACCTCTGTCTCTGAGTGTTAGTGTTTTGACAGCGTCATGGTCCCATTCTCCACCATAAATCATACACCATGACCCCTAAATGTTTAACTTTCTTCATGGCCGAGGTACTGAGGGAGCCTTACAGCGTGGACAAGAGGTCAGTTTCAAATGATCAATTAACTTGTTTATCTCGTAACCCTAAACGCTCACGGACTCACGTTGAAACTCGTGAATGTTGAGATTCAGCCATTCAGGATTGCTCCTTCCACACTACACCAGACTTTTCTGTTAATGTGAGCTTGAAGGCAACCCAGAACAAACACACAGAGAAGCAGGTTACTTTGAGGTAGTACATCTTGAAATCCTGTCACCTGGATGAATGAAACTCTTCTTAGATAACTTTTACCATGTCCAACTCTGCCGCTCACTCCAATAAACTCTGACGTTAACCCTTTAACATACAGTTTTAAGATGTTGTCACTTGACCTGCTCTTTTTCTCTTTCACTGTGAGCCTTCAGAGTGACATTCAGATGAGATCCAGGACAACTAGAGACACAAAGGCTGAATTCTGCTGTTGTCACAGGAGAAATATCCCAACATGAGGAGTCGGCCTTTTGTCTGTCAGCCCTCTTTGGATTGACTTAACTGTAGTTTTCATGTAACTAAGACAGATTTGGTCGATTGTGTGAGGTTTACTTAAAAACTTTAAAAGTAAATGTAAATGCTCCGTACTTGTATAGCGCCTTTCTAGTCTTTTCGACCACTCAAAGCGCTTTTACACTACATCTGCATTCACCAGTCACACACATTCATACACTGAGCCTAAGTGCTCAAACGGAAACTAGCATTCACACTCATTCATACACTGGCGGAACAGGCGCCAGGGGCAAATCGGGGTTCAGTATCTTGCAGGGGGAGCCAGGGATTGAACTGCCGACCTTCCGATTAACAGCCAACCCGCTCTACCTCCTGAGCCACAGCCACCAAGTAGTAAATAAAAAAGTAAAGATGTCACCATGTCCTAAAACATCTGAACCAAAAAAATATGAACAACAAAACAACTCAAACCAGAACATGAACAACTATCAGCTTTCATTTGGACCGAAAACACATCCAGAGCTTTGTCCATTTGTCCACGGCTCTTTATCATGAATCAAGTTCACCTGAGGGATCAGGCTTCACTAAACTTCTTCAGCTTCATTAAGAACCTGAACACACTGGATCAGCTCAGAAGTGATGCTCTGTGGTGACAGCAGGGATGACATCATCATAGTCATCATCCAATCCCTCCTCAGCCTGGGTGGGCGGGGTCATCACCATTGAGATGGGCAGTTCTGCACTGCACTCTGCTGTCAGAGCAAGTTAGAAAGAAAAATGTAGATAGTTTATTTGTTAGAGACAACTGTCAATCATCAACACCACTGACTGAGATATTGACTGATGAATTAACTGACTGATTGACTGTAAGGTCAGTGAATGATTCAGAGTGTTACCTGTGGCCCTGCGGCGATATAAAGACACCATGAGGACAGTGGAGATGCAGTACGGACAGAACACCACCAGGTGGAAGACCAAACTGAACACAAGCTGGAGGGGGGCTGAGGCAGGGGGCAATGGAGAAGGCAGGGTTGTCGGGGTGGGCAGAGCTGCGGATGTGGGCAGAGCTGAGGTTGTAGGTTTACCTGTAGAGAGAATCCCAACTGGTCAGGTGAATCTCTGGATGAAATAAATCCTGAAATCAAAGGTAACCTCCTCACCTGTGACAGAGATCCAGCTGGATGGAGACTCTCCACGACCGCTGATGTTACACTTGTAGAGGCCTTCATCAGACTTGTTAACATGGTGGATGGTCATGTGACCTGTAGGCTCAGTCCTGATGAGGGAGCCATCTTTATAGAAACCAGCTGTGAGGTTGGAGGGAGGGGTCTTTGTTTTACAGTGCAGAGTGACATCATGTCCCTCCATCACAGGGAGGACAGGACTCTGCAGGATCACTGGTCCACCTCAACACAGAGACAAACTACAGCATTTCATCATTTACACACAGCTTCATCAACACTAACTCCACCGTCTGAACTGTGGTGCATTTGTGGACTTCTGGATCTGATAAGCCAGAACCTCTGTGTTATGATGAACATAAGATAACTGTATATTTCTGCAAGTTATTTACTCTTTTTATTAGTATTACTGTAGTATTTATCTAATTGTACGTTGTACCCAATCTTTAATGGTTGTTTGGTTACAGCACTGACTACCATCCCTTTTACAATAAATGTTTTAGAATTAATTTGACTTAAACTAGGATTGTAAATCAGTCTCTCCTTTCTAGTGCTGTGACCTCCAGTCACTGAATGGATCATGGAGCTGGTGTCCACTTTAACAGGTTGTAATGTTGGTGGTGTTGTCTTTGCCTTTGCTAAAGTAAAGCTGGATTGTTTTGCTCAACATCAAGCTGACAAGTTTCAGAAGACAGTTCTTTGTTTCAGGACATTTTGAGCCTGTAATAGAACCCACAGAAACACAACTAGTCTAAAGAAGACCAGTTTTATTTTTCCTTTAATCTGTACAACAGTTAACCATGATTGCAAAAGGGTTTTCTAATGATCAATTAGCATTTTAAAATGATAAACTTGGATTAGCAAACACAACGTGTCATTAGAGCACAGGGCTGAAGGTTGCTGATAACTGGGCTCTGTAGAAATTCCATTACAAAGCTGTTTGCTGCAACAAACACAATTTACAACATTAACAATGTCTACACTGTATTTCTGACCAATTTGATGTTTGATATTTTCTTATGAAAAAAAGGAATTTTTACCCCAAACATTTGAATAGTAGTGTACAGATACAGGATTTTAAAGCAAATCAAAGCTCATCCATTGGCTACTCTCAGTTCTCCACCCAGTGTTGGTTAGCTTCCTGATATACAACCCTGGAGTCCCCCTCTAACTTCAAGAAGCTCTTGAAAACTCATCTCTTCCGAGAACACTTCCTCTTATAACACCTCTAACCCCTAACCTCTAACTTGCACTTCCTGTGCTCTTCTTCTTCTATCCCCGTACAATTCTTTTGTATTGATTGTACTTTTTTGTTAACTCTTCCTTCTTTCCTTAGATATTTACCCCATTGATAGCCATATGTGCTATTAGCACTTAAATGTATTTATTGCTGCTCTTTCTAGTATGTATAGCCAGTTTTAGATCTTGCGCTGTATTGATGCTTTGTTGATGCTTGTAAGTCGCTTTGGATAAAACTGTCTGCCAAATGAATGTAAATGCCATGGAGGTAAAAATTTTGTAAAAATTTTGCCTTTGATTTTAGCAAAAGGCCAAAGTGTAATAAATAACACTGACTTAGTGTTCAGAGGCCCTCTGTTTTTTATTGATCCTTTAACTCCCTATTAGACCCATTACAACAGTCCGATCTTACCAGTGACAGTGATGTTGATGGTGTTACTGGTTGCTCCCTCTCTGGACTCACACCAGTAAACTCCACTGTCCAATGGGACTGTCAGACTGATGTTACAAGAAGAACCAGCTGATTTTCCCCAGTTGTCACACTGAGTCCTGTTTTCTTTGGCTGTGTTCCTCCTCAGCGTCCATCCAGCAGAGCTGTCGTCCTCCTCACAGCTCAGAGAAACAAACTGATCTTTAAAAAACTGAGAGCTGCTGGGACTCACAGTCAGAGAGGCTGGAGGAAGAGACAGAAAGATGTGGTTAGGGATACTTTTGTTTTTTATTCTCCGCATTCCTCATATTCCTACTTTCTCACTGTCACTTCTTCACTGCTGAACTGATCTGTGTTTCATGGGCAGAGTTTCAGAAAAGAAATCTGAATCAATCTCAAATATGAGCTGATTTTGACAAATGTTTTTAAATGTAACTCAAAATCGGTGTTAAACACCAGAAGATCTGGCTTAATGTGTCTCATATAAATATGCATATCCTATCTTCTCTGGTAGCCGCTGCATCATGTTGTGCAGTCCTGGTTTCTGAATTACATTTTTATAGCAGCAGTTTTAACTTTGGCTCCAGTCTGCAACACTGTGGCATCAAAACTGCATTCAGTGTTTTATTGTATGTGTAAAGTGTCTGTTTCCCTCCCCAAACACTGTCCTAAACACTAACTGTTCTATCAGGGAGTGAATAACTTTTCAGCTGTGATGGAAGAAGTTTTCTCACCTTGGTTTGTTGTGCAGCTCAGCAGTGAGGTCAGAACTAAAGAGAAATCACACTCAGGTTGGTTTGAGGTTTTTCATGCAACAAGACATCTGGACTTTCTACAACACAGAACAACCTGCTTGTAGTGCACAGAAAAACAGCCACATGTTGACATTAGACACGGAAACAATAAATTATATTTATTTATGGACACATTAAATGTTTTTTAAATCAATTTCCCAAAACAGAGCAGCAGTAATTAAAAGCAGAGGAGCTGTTCAAGTGCAGAAAAGACATGCAGGCACAAGCCTGTCCTCCACAGAAAATAGCCACATAGGTCGTCTTTGCCACACAAAATTACGTTTATATTGGCAGCGACCTCTAGTGGCCATACAACACACACATATGACAAAGACATTTATGTATTATAAATAGCCAGAAAGTTGTAGTCTGGTGGTGGGTTGGATGGAAGGATAGTAAGTTAGCTGCTTTTTGCCCAGGAGGCTGGCATTCAGTTCCCATGTTAAAGAAGGCTGATTTCTTTTTTAAATAAAGTTAAGAAATAGTTGCGTTAGCTTCGTAGCATTAACATTAGCTAGGTAGCAAACTATGTTAGTGTTAAAGACGTCGAAAGCCCTCGTAGCCCCTTACCCTGACCTTCACAGGGCTGTTTGCCTAAACCTAAGTCAGTGATTGTATGCGTGTTGACCCAACAGCTGTACATATCAAAGAAGACCAGAATTATGCAGCTAGACCTAATGTTTGAGGAGTTATTACTGATTTATGTTGGGTATGTTATTTTAGGTAATTTTCCTGGAAATGGGTGGCAGTTCTCATGTGGTTAAGTTGTATTTGAAGGTTGGCTAAAACAACCTATGTTATTGTTTAGGTTAAAGGACTTGTAGGCAGGCACCAAAGGGTTAAGAAATGAAAATGAACACTTGCTATAATGTATGTGTTACTGTGTGTTCTTTGCTGCCATATTATCAAATAGTGATTAGTTTAATTCAGTCTGTATTCAGGTTATTCACATTATAAATTGCTATTAAACACCAGAAATGTTTTTGAACTAATGTCTGAGACAACATGGAGACAAACATTTACACATTAAGTAGATTTTTACTTACCCAGCAGCCAGGGTAAAAATGATACCTCCATTTTAAAGCTTGGTCATCTGAGATCAACACATTAACGTTTACCACCCACAAACCCCCGAAGTAAAACCCACCTCTTTCCTGCCCTCTTTTCTGTTGAATCGTTGTGGTTTTCTCTCAAGCAGGAAGTAGGCTTTATGTTCTGTCACATCAAGTCTCAAGTAAATAACTGACCAGGTTGTGCATGGACACTATTATTATTATTATTACTTTTGATGTTGCTATTATTGAGTATAGATTCAGATACAGGTTGCACTGAGGACCCACGACTCCTTGTTCACTTTACCTTACAGAAATAAATCTTCTTTTGTCTTGTCTAGCATTAGTGCTGAGATTGCTGACCAGTTTCATGGGGAGATTGTGTTGAATGCTGAGCTGAAATTCACAAACAGCATTCTGATACAGGTGTTGTTTTTCCTCAAGGTGTGTGAGGGCTGAGTGGAGGGCAGTGGAGATGGCATCCTCTGTGGATCTGTTGGTTCTGAAAGCAAACTGGTGAGGGCCCAGGCTGGCTGGGATGTTGTTCTTTAAGTGCTGAAGAACCAGTTTCTCACCAGGTACAGGAACAATGGTGGCTGTCTGGCAGCAGGTGGGAACCCTCTCCTGAGACAGTGAGATGTTGAAAATGTCAGTAACAACATCAACTAGCTGATTGGCCCAAGTTTTTAGTACTGTAGCAGAAGTAGTCTGATGTCACTTGTGCACAACCTGTCAGTTATTTTGTTCACTTTGAGGTGTGATGTTTTTTGACCATAGCTTCATGTGCAAATACACAGAACATAAAGCCCATTTCCTGCTAACTGCTTGAGAGAAAACCACAACAGTGATACAGAAAGAGGCAGGTTGTGGGTTTTAGTTGGTGTGAATGGTAACCATTAATGTGTTGATCTCAGATGACCTAAGATCTAAAATGCAGGGTAAGTAAAAATCTTCTTAATGTGTGAATGTTTGTCTCAAAGATTAATTCCAAAACGTTTCTGGTGTTTCTGAGAGCAGCAGCGAGTTACAAAGTGTAGCAGACCTAAAAAATTTTAGTTATGCATTTTTAATAAATTTATGAGAATTGATACCCAATTATGAATTCATAATTGAAGATTCATAAAATCAAAATTTCCTCGTTAAGGGCACCACCGGAGTTGTTATAATCCTAGAGTCTCCGGACCTCTAGGTAGTTTTGAATAATTATACAATTATTAAGAGTGATCAGTTAGTTAATAATCGCTCAATTATCTTAAATCAGTCAGTCAGTCTCATATGTAAAGGGTCAATTCTCTTGGCAGGAACTAGAAATAGGCAACACACACAGCTCTTGGTTATATTACAGTGAATTTATTCTCTAACTAAGGTGATAAAAAGACGGTTGGATACAGGGAACATAAACATTTGCTGAACAATGAGCCTGGAGGTTCGGTTGTGGGAAGCATTTGACTCATACGGCATAGAAGAGCTAATGAAAGTAAACTAATGCTATAATTTTAGGGGTTGAAATGGACATCTGATCACAGAACGTGTGTTGAGTCTTACTGCTTGTCGACAGCCTGCTTTTGGCCTGTTGCAAGGGTCCCACGCTAGCTGCCGATCCTGGCTTTTTGCTAGGGATTCTCCGGGGTTCTCTGTGTCTGATTGACACTCGGTGGAGTTGGCTTTGACAAAAAAGGCTTAAAATGGAACTTGGTCGTTCCTGAATTAGTCCAGTGTAACTTAACGGACTCATAACTTTAACAAATAAAGAAATAAAGAAATATAGAAATAAAGAAATAAAGAAAATAAAAACAAACTGAAGGGCAGATCGATGTTGCGGCACTTCAGGTGTGTAGCTTCAGGCGAACAAAAGGCCTGTCTCGCTGGCCGAGTCTGGGCGTTGCCTGGCGAGGCACGCCACGCGCGTGCCGAAGCGTCCAGAGAGCAGAGCAGAGTGGAAGAGCCAACAGCGAAGAGAAGAGCGAAGCGAGGTCGCGTGTCGCTCTTTTGTTGCCTGGGGCGTGGTTCCCCAGGGGGCATCTCAGGTTTCCCAAGGGACTGCCTTTCTAAACTTAATGTCTAAAGAAAAGAAATCTATTTGCACGTATTATAATCAAATATTTTCCACAATCGAACCTCAGTGGTTGAACGGTTGTACTGTTCTAGGCATTTGGTAACAGGAAACAATTGTCACATCATTGGTCAGGATATTTATACATTTAACGGCTTTAATACTTATTTCGTCCACTTGGGGGAGCTCAGGTTACATGAGGAAAGCTTGGATTAACTCAACGATCGTCTCTCCTTAGGAACCGGGGAGTTTGTTGATTCATCCTTAAATTCAAGCTGGCGATTAAGAGTATAGTAAAACATTCCTTTGTCATCATTTCTAGAGGAATTTTGTTGGAAAGTATTATGAACAAGCATTGATTACATCAGATGAAGGAGTGTCTTGCTGAAAATAAAAACACTGCACAAGTAACTTCTTTTCAGCACTAATAAACAACAGATAGCAACAACAGTTAACATAACTACTCAAATAGAGGCAAACGTAATCAAGTAACTAAAGATTTAATTAAACTTAATTAAATGCTTTGAGTCTTTGGAGACTGCAGTCCTTTTACATCCAAAGTTCAGTGTCTGGACCATGTCACACTTGGGTGAGACAAGGGTTTTCCTTTTTGAGGAAAAGAATAAGGTCAGTTGCCACGGAAACGTGTGTGGGGGGCCAGTTTTGATAGGCTGTTCAGGGAGATGCCAATGGCTGGCTCGTGTCCCTTTGTCAGTTTAACAGTCAGGCCCCGCGTTATCAGCTTCGGAATCAAAAAGGTGCCAGTTTCATGGTCGGGATAGCACTTAGAGAAAGCAACTTTGGCCCCTCCCCATCTTCTCTGGGGGAGGAGAAAGGAATTTAGGGTAGCTCCACATTTATTCAATATAAAATGCACAAATCCACACCGTTGTTCACTACAAATGTGAAAAATGTGAATACAAAGACTAAATTCAGCCACAGAGCGTCAACGGACAATATATAAAATGGGTAGACGAAAAGCACATAAAATGTTCTAATCAAAGAGGTAAAATAACATTACTGAAAATAATGAAGTACTGTACTTCTGCAGATCTGCCCCGTCCTACAAATCCTGTTCAAGAAAAAAAAAACTGTTTGGTTCAGACCCCAACAAATATCACATCATAATGATTTCATATTTTTTCAGTAAAAATGAAAATGTGATGCAAAAAAAGACAGTTCTCACTAATCATTTCACAAACTGTCTGTCAAATTAATTGCAATTTGATTTTTTTAAAACCATATCATAGAGCCCTAGTATTTACTACTCTGAACACAAAAGAGAACATGTTTGAAAATTAAAAAAAGATGGTCACACTGGATTTCACGATCTAATAGATGGCTGCTGAAAGTAGTTAAACTATATCTGCAATAATGTGTTACATTACTTACAACTATTACACATGTGTAGTTTTAAAAATAAATAATCTAAATAGTTAATAGATTTGTGGTAAGTTAAATCTTCATATTTTACTCTATTCAGGTACAGCTGATGGGGGACACCTAAAATCAGGTTCTGCGGCTTGCGACATTTCTCAAGTTAGAGCAGGAAGATTTGATTAGACCTTTAGGGGGCTCAGATCCTGATGAGAATATTGCAAACGTGTTAAACCCCTTACACTGTTACAGACTACTGTAACGGTGTCCTTACAGGCTCCCTAAGAAATCCATCAGACAGCTGCAGCTGATTCAGAACGCTGCTGCTCGAGTCCTCACTAAGACCAAAAAGGTGGATCACATCATTCCAGTTCAGAGGTCTTTACATTGGCTTCCTGTATGAAAAAGAATTGATTTCAAAATCCTGCTGTTAGTTTATAAAGCACTAAATGGTTTAGGGCCAAAATACATTTCTGATCTTCTGCTTCGTTATGAACCATCCAGACCTCTCAGGTCGTCTGGGGCAGGTCT